CTTATAAATATATTAACTTCCAAATACATTAATATCTACTTAATAATGTAATATTTACAAAAATATGATTTAAATATACTTAAAGAGATCTAATGGAATTTTTTCAATTATTAATATATATACATATGGATGACATGTGCTAATTGATAGAGGAAAAAAAAAAGAAGAAGCTGAGAGGTGCAGCAGAGAATGTTGCAGCAGGCCGAAGGATGTTGCAGCAGGCCGAAGGATGTTGCAGCAGGCCGGAGGAATTGCAGCAGATCGAAGGAATTGCAGCAGGCTGGAGCAATTGCAGCAGGCCACGCGAGGAGAAGGAAGGCATGTGGGAGGAGAAGGAAGGCATGTGGGAGGAGAAATATTGCAGTATTTATAGAGAAAGGGTTGGGGTATTTAAATAACTTTCAGCAACGTAACTTTTGTTGCTGAAAGTTTACTCTCTATTAGCAACCTATATCATGTTGCTAAAATTCATTTGAATTTGAATTCTTTTACTCATCACCGACATGCATTATGTTGTTAAAATTTAAAATAAAAAAAACTCTCGCCACACTATCAAATGATTAAATTTTAAATGATTAAAATTTTTAGCAACATAGCTCTTATTGCTGAAAGTTACTTTCGAAAATGGAATCCTTATTTGGGGAGAAAAGTGCGGTGAAAGGCTACCAAAAAATATTAGTAACATGGGGTATGTTGCTGATATTTATTTTCAGCAACATACCCCTTGTTGCTGAAAGTGAAGTAGCTTTTGAAGGGGGGAAGTGTACTGCATAGTTTCCAGCAACTAAAACCTTGTCAGTAATATAATTTTTCAGCAAAAAAGGATTCCATGTTGCTGATATTTGTTGCTAAAAGTCAAAATTTTAGTAGTGATTCTCGTCTGTATTTAGCACTATAATTTAAGCACCTTGATATATAAGGTTTCCTTTTTCTTTGGTCCAGAATACTGCAGGAGACATAGAATGAAGGAAATTGTTGAAAATGTATGCAAGAGTGTACCGTCACCATCATCATCATCATCAAGGTTGTCGAAGCATTTGATTGATGAGGTTTTAGGGTATTGTATTTAGTATCTTAGGTAATATTAGTCAATAATTTATTTATAATGGTACTTATATGGGCATTTGATTGATAAGGTTCTTGAGGATTGTATTTAGTATTTTAGGTAATATTAGTAAAAATTTTACATATAATGGTGTTTATATATTATGTGAAATCAGACAGCTTATATCTATATAATTGATTTTTTTTTTTTTTTTGTATTTTGTAACTGTTTTTAAAGTAGAAATTTTAATTCTAATAATAATAGTAATAATGACTCCACCATTAGGGTTTCAAATTTAGTTTTTAACAAAACAATAAAGATTTATGAATGCTTTATCCTGAGCTCGAATTTATAACTGCAAAAGCTAGCAATTTTTGTCGCTACCGAAAATATCAGAGCCTCTCCATGAATAAGGGACGAACCCTAAAATTAAAAAATATATATCAATTATTTTCCTTTTTAATCTATAAAAATAAAGTGACAATCAATAAACGAAAATTGAACTTTTTCAAGAAAAAAAAAAGAGATTAGGGTTACGTGTCAGCCCCATATTCCATCCCATCCACTGTATATACAGCCAAAACATCCGAAAAGTCTGTTGAAATTCTTTCCTCCCTTTTGCCCACTGTTTTGTTTTCTCCGGTGAAAGCTTTGCCCATTTTCTCAGAACCCTTTTTCTCCTCATCTCCCCTTTGTTTTCTTGATCTTCCTTTGTTTTCAATTCTCTCCAGTGAGAAGATGAGGTATTTCAGTGGTCCCATTTACAAACTGCTGAAAACCTTAGAGACAAGGTCGATTCACTTTCGTCCAGGTAACACTTGGTCCGTGCTTGAGAAGAGAATCAAGCACGGACGCAGTATCCCACCCAAACCCGCCTACAGTCCCTCCTCTTGTAGTCTTC